TTTGTTTGTGAATCCTGGCACATTTATACTTCCTGTCTCAATCTTCACAATACTTTCAAGGGAAATTGAATTCAATTATTTCTGCTGCCCCAAAAGTTAAGTTTCCACTATGAAAATAAAAAAAGAGGAGGTATTTTAAAAAGCATACATATTTGAGCCAAGAAAGTAAGTAGAACTTTGGGTTAGAACTTAGAAACATTAACAAGTCTATCTTTTAAAACCTCTTGGTTTACAGCACTGTCTGTGTATCAAGTACAAATGAAGGTTTTACAGATTCATCTTAATTGAAAATAAACTAAGTAACTAAATATGAAGAACAGCAGATTGGGACCTGAACCTCCACTCCTGTAAAGGTCCCAGCTAATGGTTGAGTTCTAAGACCTCTCATTTCCCCCAGAGACCATGGAAGAGGCATACACTCTAGCTACTCAAAAAGGGGTGACGGGCGGGAAGCAGACGGGAGGACAGGAAAAAACACATGTATGCCAAAATAAGAAAATGCCCCCCCACCCCCCGCCCCACAAAAAAGAGCATTTAAACTGCTTGTCAACCAGCTTCCTGACAAAGCCACCAGAGTGTATTCACAGACATTTGCATAAATGCTGCCGGTGAGTTCACCATAGCTGCTAGCACTAATGGTACATAAAGTAATTTAGTCACTTCTCCCGGCATTCTATGTCAGAATGATGAGCAAGGCACTCTGCCTTGTTGCATATTAGATCATTAGATAATAAAGTGTTAGCACATGCAAGCTGACAGGGTCTCTGCACTCTCTGGTTGTAAGGCCACCACATTTTGCCACAGGGGGGAAAAAATAGAGAAACTGATGCCACAACTGGCCTTCCATTCAAGTAAACACATTCAGAAACTCAGAAGAATACAACAGTAACAACACTCTCCAAACCCTTTGAAGATGCCCAGCACATAGCCCCCATGATTTTATGCAAATTACAGGGAGACAGGAGGGAGCACAGCAGCTCTGTTACATTACCATGTTGTTGCTGTTAAGTGCCAGTGAGTGGGTTCCAACTCACAGTGACCCTATGTAGGGTTTCAGAGGAGCCACAATTCAGCTCCTTTAGACAGAACCCTGATGGAGTAATAGAAAACACTCAGCTGCTAACTGAATGGTTGGTGATTCAAACCTACCTGTTGGTTCTGGAGGAGAAAAGACTTGATGATTTGCTCCCAGAAAGATTATAGCTTAGAAAATGCTATCGGTAGTTCTACTCTGTCATATGGAGTGTACTCTGTCACTCAGTGGCACCTGACAACAATAACACCAGTCTCACGTCTAGCTTGTTTTCAAAGACTGGAACTATAGAGTGGATCCATTCTGAGGTGAGAATGCCTCTCTGTCCCACTGCCTAAACAAAACCAGTTGCTCTGGAGTCAATTCCAACTCACAATGACCCTATAAGTCAGAGCAGAACTACCCCACAGGGTTTCCAAGGCTGTAAACTTTATGGAAGCAGACTGCTACATCTTTCTCTTGATGAGAGGCTGTTGGGTTTGAACTGGCAACCATTTAGTTCACAGATGAGTGCTTAACCACTGCACCACCAGGGCTCCTTTATCCCACTGAACATCTGTCTGAAATAAAGCTACTGCTTTAAGAAGCAACACCACTAGCCTAAATCCTCCCACAAATTTACAACCCTTCCCCCACCAAAAAGAAAAAAAACCTCAGTACTTATGAATGAAGAAAAACATGAAGGAGAGGAGCAATTACCATGAACTAGAGTGTGATGGTGTGGCATAGCGGGTTAATGTGCTGGACTGCAAAGTCAGTTTGAACTACAAGGTCCTTGGTTCAAGCTCACCAGCCACTCCTCAGAAATCCTATACAGAGTTGCCATGGGTCGGAATGGACTCGACAGCACTTAACAACAGAGTATGATGGGATTTGCCCTTCTTGGACCACACACGATTCTCTGAAATAAATTTGCCTTTTTTCAGCTCTCATACTTAAAACACAGACACATGATTTGAGCAGAGGGGTCTGTGAGTCCCTGAGTCACACAGGGGAGATGGTGCCTGAATGTGGACCATGATCTCTGTTTCTAGTTATATGCAGAAAGATGAGCCTCACAAGGGAATGTTCCTCCAACTGTCTGACAAGCTGGGTATAAATAGAGATGTGCAAAATAGCTCAAAATAATTCAGGATACCTATAAATGAGATGGTAAAAAGCCCAGAATGGGGGAAAATGAAGACTTCTATGGGTCTCAAAAGGTGAAAACATTTTTCGGTCTTACTGTGCAGTAGCCATTTGAGATGGAGGAGTAAGAGACAGCAAGTGTAGGGGGTTAGGAGTGGTTCTTAAAGTCTTAAACAGGGTATATTCAAATAGAATAGGACTTTTTAATCACAAGACAAACTATAACCATATCCTCAAATCAACATGAATTAGTATCTCAGTCCATTCCCACACATCACCACTGAAAGAGCTCAAAAGACATCCTTTGCTGAATACATTTTTATGTATCAGCTTGAAGTGTCTAAATGGGTGGCTATGTGTGGTTGGTTGATTCATTCTGCAGAGAAGCAGATTTCAATGTTATTGTCATTTCTAAGGACCAAAATGTGTCTATCCTTTCATTCTGCTGGAGGTGAAGAGAAAGCTTTGGGGAAAGCCAGGAGGAAATAGAACCTCTACATCCTGAAAGAAGATGAGCAGTGTTTAAACAGCTAAATGTCACCATTTTATTGAATAATAATTGGGAAGGGTATTTTGTGCACTGGTAAACTAGGTAAGAGAAATATATACTGCTGTCTTTAAAATTTACAATAATATCCCAACTGAAATATTAACATGTACCCATGTGTGCCATGGAGTTGTTTCTGAGGCAGGAAGCCGCATCTTTCTCCTGAGGAACAGCTGGTAGTCTCGAACTGGTCACCTTGAGATTAGCAGCCCAACTCGTAACCACTATGCTACCATAGCTCCTTATGTACTCATAGAGGCAAGAATATTTTAACTGGAAGTTTAAGAGACATTTTAATCCGAGGTCTTAAAATGTTAGCCTATGGCTGCATTTTTTTTTTCTATGTGAATCTCAGTGCTTAAAATATTTGTAATTAATTACCATCAAATAATAATGAGACTTTTACTGCTTGCCAAGCAGGAATATCTGGCCCTACTAGGCTCTCCTCACTTCCTTGGTAACAAGTGGCAGGCTCAAGGGCAGCAGAGCATGTACTGCCCGCCCAGCTCCTGTCTCCACCCAGTTCACTTCCCTTATTTACAATACCTGTCCCCCACCCAGATATCACCTTCACATTATCAAGGAAAATAAGGGTCCCCAAAAGTGGAGAGACTTGTACAAGGTCACAAAAAGCATCAAAGGTGAAACTCAAGAGTTGACTTTGGATTTCCTGGCATCTATTCGAAGTCTTTCCCCCAAATCAGACTGTGAGGTAATGCTACTCACTCACCTCCATCCCCAGGAGACATCTTTTCTAACAGCCTGTTTCATTTTGTTTTGTTTTTAGGTTTGGAGGTTTTGGTGGAAGGATGGTTTGCATGACATCAGATAGGACTTCCAAGATCAGGAATAGGAGCTGTGTGTGGTCTACAACTTGGAACACAATGCAACTGTGAACCTCTGACTTGGCATATTTCAAAATGACACTCAAGTCTGCTCAATAGGACAGTCCCCATTTCAACTAATCAGCTATAGGCAAAAGAAGGACTTCCATTTTTAAAGCCAGTGTTCTTCAAATTGTGCCTAGTGTGTTTTTTCCTATATTTTTCTTCCTCCTTTCATACAATGCCTTAAGTGACTCCAAGAGTATTAGAAAGGCAATATTACTGTAAAGAGGGGATCAGAATAATTTTAAATACAGAAATGGAGCTAGAAATGTAATCATGAGCAGGTGTTTCAAATGGCCTCCTGCAAAAAGTCATATCCATCCATCTCAGCACTAATGAAACCACAAAGAAGCAGCCGTAGAAATATGATGTTTTACTTTTAAAAGATTATAAAACTGGATGTGGCAAAGAATTCCTTCTAAAAGAGTTACATCTGGCTAATTAATGAAAAGTATAGTCTGTGTATTCCTTAAGTACAGAAAAAAATCAGGCAAAAAAATGATAGTGGTGTGTTTATTAAATTGGGTTGCTGGCAGAGAAGGGAGAATTCTGCCTTATGAATTATATTATGGACAGCTCATGGCCAGGGGAAAAAAATCTCATACAATCAGGTAGTAATTTCTGTGGTAGTGTTTTAAAAATAATCCTGCCAAGGTAGCAAACTAGAAAGTACAGTGAGGGAAATAGGTTAAGAATTTTATTTGAGGATATTGGAGAAAGCCTAGGATGGTAATTGGTATCCAAAAGAATCTCACTTACTGTTTCTTGGATGGATAGGTGGATAGATGGATGGATGGATGGATGGATGGATGGATGGATGGATGGATGGATGGATGGACAGATGGATGAATGGATAGATGATGGATGGATGGATGGATGAATGGGTGGATGGATGGATGGATGGATGATGGATGGATGGATGATGGATGGATGGAAAGATGGATGGATGGAAAGATGGATAGATATGCTACATACTCATGGCGCACAGAAAAATTCAGACATGCACTCAATCTAACCCATGGCTCCTTGAGTGGCACTCACTTTCCTTGACCCAACGTTTTATCTGGTTTCCTCTGGTCTTCGCAAGGTATCACTGATTAGCCAAGAGCCTCAAGACTAATGTTATTTCTCCCCACCAGCCAATTCCAGGGTAAATAGTAATACATCACATCAAGAGAGATTGGCCCTCAAAGAAATTTCTCTATATCCAAATACTAGGCATCAACTCTAGAAGAGTGAAAACTGGAGAAAATCACTATTGCTCAAAAAAGGTTATCTGAAATTTGAAATGGGATCGAAAATGTGGTGGAATTGGAAGAAAGAAACCAAATAAATTCACAGTTAAAGTAGCAATGCCAACCAATGAAAATGATTCGCCTACCATGTTCCAGATAAGAGGGCGTACCTTCCGAGGGGTCAAGCCTCCGAGCCCTCCGCCCATGCTTGGAGTTATTGTGGACAAACATGTTATCAGAGACTGCCAGGACATGGCCATCCACGTTGACTGTTGTAGACACCACGACCTGGAGACATAAGAGAGAAATGAATGAACATTTTAATATAAAAGCATGGAAGGTAATAAACTCAAGTTAAATAAATAACAGCTGGGAACTGGAGAAAATTGCATCGCTATTTCACATAATAACTGGTGCTTATGCTGTACAAGTCTAACAAGAGAAGCTATTGATGAGTGGGTCTTTGGCATGGAACGCTTTTGATGCAGTTTTAAGTAAAATTGCACAGTTTATAGTTATACAGCAGAAGGTACACTGTTAACCATAATTTTAACAAGAGGATCTTTATTAGCATATTTTTTTTACACAAGGGTGGTTGTGTTTCACCTAAATTACCCTTCAGTTTAGACACTGAAGCAGATATCACAGTTGATCATGCAAATAAAAATCTTTTGAATCTTTAAAATATACCCCCCTCCTGCCCCCCTCCACTGTGTCAGGGTTAAGAGGATAGAGAAATAAAAAAGAGAGGTTTCAGTGAGAGCTGGGATGCAGCTTTCTCTCTGGGGTGCCTTCTTAGGGTTTCTTGTACTTTTTTAAGAGTACTACGTTAACTCTGAAGAATTAAAGCAAATCCCTGCTCCCTCACAACTACCAGGACCACCACCTATCCCCTCAAACACACACACACACACACACACACACACACACACACACACACACAAAATCCCTGCTAATTAAGTGTCTTCCATCTGTGTTTCAAACCCAACAAAAAATGGCGGCACTGGCTCAAACTCCAATTGGCCACCTCATAAAAAGTATCGGAACTGTGTTTGCCAGAAGGGACACAGGCAAAGGTGTTGTCTTAGAACTTTCACTAAAACAATGAGAAGAAATGACCTACACTTCTCCTTATATTAAATGGTGAAGGGGATTAAAACTGAAACCCACAGAGATATGTTTATTCATGCGACCTCTTACAACCAAATATAATAATTGTCTGTAATTGCAGCTTCAGCTCCTACCTCATGCTTTGACAAGGGAAACAGCAATCAGCCAGCTCCCGTTTAATCCACCTATTATGTTGACTAATTAACTTTGCTCGACAGTTTATTTCTTCCTCCATTATCAGCCCTTGTCAGCCACAAGCACCCTGCAGCATAGGGGGGACCTCAGGCTCTTTGATTGATCACTGATAGATTGACATGCAGATTAATTTAATTAGAATCACCTCACTTGAGAAATGAAAGACAATGGCAAGAGGGCTAATAGATCTGCTCTCATAATGAGGTGAGCCTCCAGAGCTAAGGCTGAGGATTTCTGATTTATTTTGCTCAATTCCCCAGTTGCTTGGAAAGATTCTCACTTTAATTGTTCTTGGTTTTGAGAGGCATTAGCCTCTGAAGAGGTGAAATGCTTTACAAGGGTTGGCACACACTGAGGCCTCAGCCTCTAAGGAAGCCTTTTCTCCAAGTTGGCCAGAGGGGACACAAACTTTAGAGCCTTGTGCAATGCTCAGATCATCCCCTGAATAGGGCAAAGGGGGACATTCTAGGCTATGGCCTATGCCTGTATATTGTCAGCCCTGTTGGGCAAAGTGTACCACTCCAGAGATCCACAACCCTACCCATATTTGCCACCCTTAAAAGTGTCATTTTCTCCCCTCTTTGACCTAAACACATCCTTGCAAAAAATGGTGAATTCCATTTCACAGGCCTTAAAGATGGCACCCTATTTATGGCCTGTGGAAGCATTCCTTGCTCACAACATTACACATGAGGTTGATTTTCGTTTTTAAATCAAATTTATTAAAATACAAAGTAAATGATGGAGAGTCCATTCAGAGAGCCAGGGTCATTGTGAAACCCGAAGTTCCAGATAGAACAAGTCATTCATGGGAGGAGAGGAAAGTTGGAAATGGCAGTTTGCTAAGTGGCTTTTCTCTCTATTGGTGACTGACCAACCAGGTCTAACAGGGCCTGAAGCTGATTTGTATGCCTCATCAATTGTAGGTTAATTTAAAAGAAGCAGGAGCAGGAGAATGATGAGGGGAAGAAGAAAATTGCCTAATCTTTTATTTTCACAAAGTATTATATAAGTGACAGAGTCTCTATTATATAAGAAAAGAGAAACTTGCTTTCTTTTAAGTTAGGGCGATGACTTCGTGGAACATTTATAATTATATAACAGCTCTGGATCTTTCAAAGAAATCTTGATTTACTACGAGACCACAATTGAGTGGTCACTGGAGACGTTAGGTGAAGAAACTATAAAAGGAATCCCAAACGGTATCTGTTTCCAGTGTCAGGAAATACAGAAAGTGGTTATTCTAGATGTCTGTCTTTAAAAAAAAAAAAAAAATCTTTTAAAGCAAAGGCAATTCACCATGCACCTGTAACACAGAGAGCTACAGGCTCTAAGGATTAAAATGGCATCCTTTTCAGACATTGTCATCTAACTTCTACATTGAACCAAACATCAAAAATGTTGATGGGAAATACATTTACTTTGGGGGGGGGGGGGGGGGGGGGGGGGGGGGGGGGGGGGGGGGGGGGGGGGGGGGGGGGGGGGGGGGGGGGGGGGGGGGGGGGGGGGGGAGGGCAATCATTTAATTGAAAAAACAGTCAAAACTTGAGAACACATCATACTAGAGAACACTATTTCTTCAATTTTTTAGAAAATACACACCTAATATGAGAGTATGCCAAAAAGTATTGATACTAGGCTTCCTGTTCCTACTTGCACAGGTTAATTCCAAAGAAAACATGTTTAAACAAGTCTCTGCGATCAGTAGATGACTGAAAGTAAGTTCTGTCATTAATGCCCTTCTTTTAGTCTCATTAGGGTGTCTACATGAGAAAAAGGCTACTTTTTGGGCCATGGATTAAAAACTATTTTTAAGGTAGGGCTAATATCAAATTTTTAACAAAACTCAAGCAGTCACCTTCTCAAATCACTGAAGCTTTGTAATAAGTTTATAGGAATGTTGCCCCACATTAAGCAACAGTTTTTAGATGGATCAAACATTTTAAAGGAGGGTCAGAAGGACTTCAAAGATGAGGCAAGAGAAGAAAGACTGTCAACCTCAATGAATTAAGAAATTGTAAAGTCCAGAAACTGGTGGAAGAAGATCATAGAATTACCATTGATGTAATCACTACTGAAGTTAGGATCTCATTTTCTAAAGGCTGGGCATTTTCCATTTTAAGTGAGCATACTCAGCAGGCATTTGGCTCTATGGATACCAAAAGTGTTGTGAGGAGATTAGCTAGCTCAAAGCTTCCCATCACTCTTTTAAACAAGATCTAAGCTAATGAAGATGATCTTATGGAATGGATTGTAACTAGGGATGAGTCTTGGATTTAATAATATGAATCAGAGAGCAAGGTTCAGTCAAAAGAATGGCTTCCACGGGTGTCTGCTGGACCAGTCAAAATTCAAGGCAAAAAGGTCAGTTCAGAAGGTTATGTACAACTACTATTTTGGATTCCAAAGGGGTAATCTTGACAGATTTCCTCAAAGGACACAGGACGATAATGAGAGCTTATTATGAAAAAGTTGTAAGAAAATTGAAAATGGCACTGTGAAAAAAGACAAGGAGAGTTGTGTGGAGAATTTTTTTTTCCATCATGACAAGGCCTCTGCTTTATACTTCAAGAGTATCAAGGGCTGTCCTATGAGAATTTCATTGGGCAACTTTACCACATCTGCCCTTCAGCCCTGATCTTGCCCCCTTCAGACTTCTTTTTTCTCTAAAAATTCAAAGAACATTTAAAAGGAGCATAATTTGAGTCTCTCAATGATACCTAGACTGCCATTTTGATGTGGTATAACTTGAAGAGCACAGGTTCCTTTGGGTGTTAGAGAGATGGAAACAGCACCTTCAGAAGTGTACAGATCCAGATGAGGAATATGTCAAGAAGTAATAGTTTTACCTGTCTTATTTTTGTTTAATAAAGGCATTTCTGATTTTGTTGCAGTACTTTTTGACTTACCCTCATACATCCTTCAAAGAGTTCCTGAGAAATGTTATTACACTTGGCTGCTAACCTAAAGACTGATGGCTAAAGGTCTGGGACTTCCCAAAGGCCAGGGACTAAAAATCCTATGGAGCACCATTCTACTCTGAAACATACTGGGTTGTCATGAGTCAAATCAATTTGATGTCAATTGATATGTTCCTCAGAAAGTTATAAGGCAATACATTTGCTTACCCCAAAATAATTTATCTCATTCCAATTTGTAATTAACAAGGATATATCTTTAAAAAACACATGATGAAATTAAGCCACAGAGCAATTTATAAATTAAAAAAAAAATCTAACTGTGAAATGCAAAGAGAATACTGAAGTATCCTTTAAAAATAGGCCTCGAGTAGGAGGGAGAAGGGTCTTTAGAGTTTTGTATAAGATTAATGAGGTGCTGACACATTTATGCAGGCAAGGGGACAGTCAGGCCTGCTGAATCGTCAACTGTCCTAAATTTTGTCAACAAAACACAGTTTGAATTTGAGACAGACAAACATGGAAAATGATTTTACATTTTGACTCAACCACTCCTACCCTCTTTACTCCACCTTTATTCCCCTGTCCAGAGAAAAAGATGGAGGAAGTACAAAGAACAGGTATATTTTGAATTTTCTATCTGTTGTGCTTAGAACTTTACGCTCTCGAGCAACACTATCTATCTAGTACAGTAGCCATTTGAGTGGCCATTTTAATTTACATGTTTAAGGATTTGAAATTTTAAAAAGTGAAAAAATTCAGTTCTTTAATCTCAATAGCCACATTTCAGATTCTCAGTAGCCCTATGTGACTAGTGGCTAATGTGCTGAACAGGACAGACAGAGAACACTCCCATCATTGCAGAATGTTCAATTGGACAGAGCTGCTCTAGAATGATTTTGAAGTACATTCAATGGCTACAAATTGAGACATAAACTAGGATGTTGTTGTTCCGACCCATGCAGCCCTGTATAAGGTTTCCAAGGAACAGCTGGTGAGCTTGAACTACCAACCTTGTAGTTCAAACGGCTTTGCAGTCTAGTGCATTAACCCACAATGCCACAC